CCTAGTCTCCATTGGGTTGATGAATGAGGTTCTCGGAGCTTATCATGGAATACAATATCTCATCTAATGGACAAAGCTAACTTTTTATGGGCGTTTGCTTTCTTTAGACGGTCCACTTTGTAACAGCAGAAGAATTAAGAGTTTTGTTGTAGAGGAGCAGTTCAGAGTAAAATATTTCTTGTCAATCCCACCAAACACATAACAAAACCTTCTTGGCCGTCAATCCTGCCTTGGTCACAGTTTTCGCCGCGTTTGAACCACGACCGTTTTCTTTTGACATTGTCCTAAGTGACCCACTTTTGATCACCATCAACCATCCGCTTTATAAGTGGATCGATATTGCAGCGATTCTCAGATGAAAATACGGTCCATGAAGATTTTTGCGTTAACTCGTGTGGCATCCATACATCGAACCTTGTTTTGTATCCGGCTTTATTTAAATGATTCCAAATTGTTTTATCCAATGCTTAGTTCCTGGGCAATCGAACCAGTGCTGTTTTCATTATTTTATCGATACTTTCGACAGTTGGTCTTCCTGAACTTGGTGCGAAAAACGAAAAAGACGGAACCAAAATTACACGCAATTAGCGCTCGTGATTGTTACAGTATTGGGACCATAAACACTATTCACATTTTCAGCCACCTGAGTTCCATTTTCACTTTTATCAAAAATGGCGTATTTTCTCTTTCCTGATGTCCATCTTTCACGCGTGCTCAAACAAAACTGAGCCAAACAATCATCCGAGAAGTTTTTTAGTACGAAATCTTATTTTTCTATCGCCATCCAGCGTAACCAGATCGTTTTATACAACATACAGATACAGATACTGATTGGTATTGGTAGCTATTCGAAAAATAATATACTTCTTTTTACTAAATCTTATAAATGAAATTGTATTATATTTCGAATTTACTATAATGTTTGTTTTGTTTTCTAAAATGTCTCTTTTATTTAAATTATAATAAAGTTGTTAATGTAAGAAACAGCCGCATGGCAACTCTGGTTACTTAGTTTTCAGCTTCCAAAATGGATAAAATAAAGTAAGCGGCTGATTTTATTCACAAAATTTGATGAATGAGCATGATTGATTACTTATTCTCAAGTAAATTAAATATTATTCTAATGTGTGTGGTTCAATAAACTGTTGCCTCGATTTTGTGCAATTTTAACGGAATCACTGTGATTGTGGATTTTGATGTTTGAAATCATACTAGTTGACTTTGGAAATTTTCTGCCAAAAATAATGTACTAAAACCAAAGAAAATACATGAGTAAATAAGTAAGGAATGCTTTATGGCAATAGGTCAGTTGCATCATAAGTCGACTTTGGGTCAAGGAACTCGCGAACCAGCCGCTGCTTAAAAGATATTAAGAGTTGTAAACAATCAATTATTATTTCTTGTCTACAAAACCAACAGAAAAGCAAGAAAATTTTGAATAACATTGGCATATTGGCTCTATAACAGCAGTCCACATGGGGAAGTTAAGTAAATGTTAATATAAACATATACAATTCCACAAAAAAAAAATTTGTTTTTCCAAATGCCCTAGTATTGACGCATTTATGATACATGAGTACATTACAATATTATGGGTCCAGAGCTTTACTCTTTAGGAGAGAAATTACCTTAACTAGAACATATTACAGTTTAAAAAAGTGTTGCTATTAAAATAAATAAATACAAGTCTTAATTTAGTTTAGAACAGAATTGGGCTCTTTAATTGACATCAATTGATTCATTTGTAAATTTACAACTACTCCGACTTCAGATTCTTGAGTCGTTATCTAGTGTTAGAGATTAGAGAAAGAATCTAACTATAGGTTGTTATCGAAATTAGCTCTTCTTTCTTTGTTTTTATACAAATGGCGACACGTTTAAAAAATATGAAGATAAATGTCATTTAAAAAATTTGGAATTTCTATTTAGAGAGTGTATAAGAATATTTACCAATTTAATAATGATGATTATAAAGAGATAATTTAAGCACCGAAAGATCAGGTATACAATGTAGAATTGTACTCGAGAATGTAAAATATTCTACGAAATGATTTTTTCAATTCATTCAAACTAGAGCGGTTTTTACTTACTAACATATTAACTCGTTTGGGCTAGTCCTTCAGGTCTTTGAACTCAAATCGATTATACAAACTCAAAAAGGTCATTTTGTACAGTGGGTTTGCATACTTGTATATGTATTCAGTTTCTCTATCTATGTCCGTCGATGACCAAGAAATGGGTCTTATAATCTCTGGTTCTGAGCAAGTGGCAACAAAGTTATTTAACGGTAAAAAAGTAATACTCGAGTTGCTTGATTCTATTTATTATAACGAAACGATATTGCATGAGCGAGTGGCAAAAGGACATTAGTTAAATAAGTAAGGCAGAACTAAGTTCGGGTGTAACCCAACATTTTATACTCTTGCAACTTGCAAAGATTAAATCCGGCTATTTTTGATATACATACATAATATTATCAGGAAAGTATTCTCTCTAAATTCCAATTATATATACTATAAACATTGAACGATAATTTCGGTAACAAGTCAACCATGGACACTGGGGTCCACTTGAACAGTTATGGCCCGATTTTGCCAATTTTTGTACTTGAGATGGCATGTCTTAAAGGCACTCTTTTTGCAAAGTTTTATTTCAATATATTTATTAGTGCTTGATTTGAATACTGGAAAGTGAAAGAATTAGATGGAATTTAAATTTGTGATACATTGTAACTCGATTTTTGCACTGGTCAAGTAGATCCCGAGGTATGGGTTTTCACCCAAAGGTTGGCGGTGCCACGCCTAGTGTCCAATTTTGTATTGGCTCCTAGGTGTAAAATTTAAAGTGATTGACTTGTATATTTATTGAGTTATCGCACTGAGTAGTTGTAAACCAAACCGTTATATGGGGCGTGGACGGTGGTGTCAGACTTTTTCACACTGTCGTTAGGGGCGCTAAAAAGGTTTGGCCTGAATGAATTTGGTTATTACAACTTTAGTGGAATAGGAAACATGTATATTAAAACTATTAGAGGACGGGGCCACGCTCACTTTAAAAATTCAATCTATTGGTTTTCGATTAATGGCGTTTTGTTGGCGTGTGATCCGACTACGACCATCGAGAATTGTAAACTTTTTACTGTGCAAAGAGAAGGACGGACAGACAGTTACTTGGAGTTCAACTGGTCTTGTCATCCTCCCCCTGCGGGTAGGGGTAAGAATTTACCCGCGGTAAGGCATGCCTGTCGTAAGTGGCGACTAAAAGCCAATATGCACTATGACTGTTATTATGTACCTTGCTCAGTAATATCAGCATAGTATGTCAGAAATAGTGCTATAATACTCAGCTTGAAAAGAAATTATAGACTTTAAACGGAAAAGCAAATAAAAAGACATTTGAAGTTCAAGCGACAAATGTCACCAGTCATTGAGTAATGGGACGGAAGAGGTGTTAGGTCGGCCTCGAATCTTACCAAGATGGTAGTGTGTGCCCAGACACACTGCCACTGGTAACCAAATTAATACTTCCAAATAGCTCGTATTATTTGGGGCGCTTATCAACGCATTGTATTGATACGTTGTGCTTTGGAGCACCGTGAGGTAAGGCCGTCGCCGGCAGGTACTCACGTAAATCAACAACGAAAGTTGGTCTTGTCATCCTGATCATTTATATATACGCAACTCTATATCTATCTCTATTAGTTTTAGGTAATACAAACAACCGTTATATGAACAAAACTATTACACTCTGTAGCAATATGTTGCAAAAGTATAAAAACCACATATACACCGTTGTTGTTTCCAAGTTGATTGAGGCTGTGTTAAACATAACTAACTTCAACTTGGAAATTTTAAAATAACTGCCGTTAAAATACGAAAAATATATATAAATAGAGCATAAGTGTGATATTTGAGATTTTACTTTGGTCAGTGGCGCTGTTTGAATCTGTCGTTTTTATTTTTAAACTTTATGAATTTTTCACTTTGGTCTACCTTCGCTACAATACAACCCAATTAGAAATATGTCCACGATGACATTATAGACTATGACAGCACTCTAAGTCTGAGTTTAATTGGCAGTAAAAGTGTATACACATCAACTGGAACTAGTGTGATAACCTTCAAGTACACCTTTGAGCACACCTAGCAGCTTTACAGGTAATCTACTTGTTTGGTCGCTTGTAGTCATATAGATTTCCAGTCGCAGGTTTTATTGGAATTGTTTTGAAAGTAGAAATTTAGAATTATGGTAAGTCGAAACATTTAAGTTGTTTGTACATTCCGAAATACTTATACATATACCTAAGTATAGCTAAAGAAACAACAAAAATATTCTACCAACCTTAACGAGGTTCTTTGTGTACTTATTTTCTTTGGACACTTGCTGATACTAAATTTTGACTTTTGGGCTATGATGTTGCAAGTTGTTGAAGTATTTAGACAATGTACTTACTTGTACATAAGTGTGTCTGGCAGTGTCATAGCAACATTTTCAATTGGGTCCAGCACACCGCACCAACATGTGTACTGTTATGGTTTTAGGGCTTTTATTTTTGTATGGTACACTTTGCCGCTCGATTGCATTTTGCTCCTTTTTGCCACCCACAATCAAACGCCGCGTTTTCGATTTGCTCTCCAGTCTTTAAAATTTATGAGCCAGTGAAATTTCGCCCGGGGCTCCATAACAATATCGATTCGAAATAATTGCGTCGGAGAAGGGGTTCAGCCCTTGGGGAGGCACTTCCTAATGTTAACATGCTTCATTGTCGGCTGGCAATAACCTTTTCTTAAATTAACTCGCAAGCCGCAGATTTTATACTCTGTCATGGATGTTATTCGAACGCTCAAACGGTAAACTCGTTTGAATGCATGTCACACTCGGCGCTTGACCACAACATACATTTAAAAGCACATAACATTTGCATAAAATTTATACGAGCATACCATATTTACCGCAATTAATGGCTGCCTAGCAATCCAATTACACTTATGCATGCATGTTACACTCCCAAACGACTTCAGCTGCTTGATTGACTTAAATGCACAAACCGCCTTGATTATAATATATGCATTTACGGCTACTTCCGACGTTGTTGTTAAAAATCACAGTCAGTGGGTAGCTTTCAAGGCAAGAAAACCTCTCTTTCGTCGGAGTTATATTCTTTGGAAGTTTATGACTAAATTGCAGTAACGGCTTTGTGAACGCTCAATTATTTGAAAACCATCCGGGATATATGACGAAACTATGTGAAAGTATAATGATAAAATTATATTCAATATTATTTAAAAAGTTTGAGATATATAGAAGCATTAGGGACTAGTGGTCTGACAGACAACTAACAACCTAAACTTCATTGTATTAAACAAAATTGTTATTAATTTCTGTTGTAAACTATGAAATTATAAAACGAACAAAATCAAAGTATTATTTAGAACAGTAAAAATATAATTTACATTTAACTGTCATTTGAACATCACTTAAGGTTGATCTTTCTTTGGAAACATACTTTTTACGATACACTTTACTTTTAGATTTCAAATCAGCTAATTTATCCCTAGTAATTAAGTTTTGTAGGGGTGCAATGATCCCTAAGCCACGAATTCGTAGGATACAACTTCTTAATACTGGAGCTAGTAGTGTTCTCTTGTCCTTAAAATAAAATTCTTTTGTTTTAAAACTTTAGGGGGTCTGCGGTAAGTTCAATCAGTATGTTAAATGTGACCTCAATGTTTATAGGTTGAGAGTGAAAACATTTCGCTCTCTGAGAGGAAGTAGTAAAGGTAAATATGGATAGATAAGTGGTAACGATATCCAAAATGTGAACTTTCTATTGTGGCCGTGGTCTCTTTTTATTTTTTACAAACAAAAAAAAAAAAACATTATTCCTACTGATTCCTACTTGGCTCGCTGTGTAATGCATGGTGGCGAATTTGGACGAATGAGTCGATACCAGTCTTGTAACTACAACATCAAAGCTCTCCTTTGTGTCTTCTAATGCATTCATATAAATTCTACGTATATCTTGTTACTTTAAAAAATATTCATCTACCGTAAGCTGGCGATTTAAGCAACTGCGAACATATAAAGATCTTAAACGTGCGGAGCGGGGCGTACTTTAATGTTTCCAGTTATCCCAGCTACGACGCAACGCGAATCCACTTGTGCAATCGATCGCCTCCATAGCCTTCTGGCGATGTGTGGCTGCTTTGCAGACGCACTCCACACACGCTCGTACTTGCATCACACATGCCTATATTATATGTGGGGGCTTATAAAGTATTTGTGCTTGCCATAAATATGCTAATATAAATAAAACCTGTTAACGCTCAAATTCGTGTTTTCAACATTCGGCAGACAAATTTTGGCGGCGCAGCGCATCTGATAAATATTCTTTACATACTGACTACATATTTACACATGATAGGAGCATAGTTTGTGACGGCATTTGAAAACATATAGTATTTGTAAAGACGTCGCTGGCACGAAGCGACTCGAACTCGGTGACTTTTACAAGTGCCTCAATTAGAGTTTAAAACTTCGTTCACCCATTTCATGGATATTTATCAGTGCGGTACACTTATAACTACATATCGCATATGCATAATTTTCAAAATATTGTAACAAAATATTCAAAATGCTGAGGTAAACAGTGTAAGTTTCAACAGAATGATTAGAGACATATAAATTAATCAGACCAAATATATATATTCGAATACTCTTTTATTTTAAAAACGAGTTGTTTCCTTAACTTATACTCCACAAAACCTTAGTTATTCATAATTCTTTTAAGCAAGGGAAAAATATCTGCTAAAAATTGGGATGGCAACGCCTTACTTTCCAATAAAAATTATAATAAAGCACTTGTAGAATATCATGGTATATTCCCATAATTTTTTTTGAGGGCAGAAAAATACTTTTTTTTTTACCGATTGTATTATTAATTATGAAAATGAAAATATTAAATTTGCCATCAAGTTTGTAACATCTAAAAGCAAATGATCAGCGGGACAAATTGAGTTGAATTATACGCAGAATAGTACCTCCGTTTTTCAGATATGCCTCTGTAATTTTGCACAGGTCCTTTTCTCTACAAGAAGCTGCTCATTTGTTCGAACCGCCAACAACTATACCATATGGCTGCCATACAAATTTAAATTCCTGCATGGAAAACTTTTTTATTTAACAAAGTATCTTCACGAAATTAGGCATAGATTATTATCCAAGACATCGCTCCGAACAAAATCAAGATAAGGATTTTTTATACCCTTTATAGCTTCGGTGCTGCCGAAGTTAACGTTATTCTTGTTTTTGGTCTCTTTTCAACACATAACTTCCTTTAAATTTAATTTTAATTAAAATTTTCCAAGTATAACTTTAATAATTTCAAAAAATTATTGTCAACTGCTAGTTTTATCAAAATTCTACAGTGTGGTTCCGAATATAGTGTTTCTAGAACTGATAGCATTTTAAACCTAATTATATAACAGGTGGAGATCTTCTTACTTTTACAACAGCATGAGAAATACTACATCGAGCAAGAATGAAATAACCAAATCGGTTCAGCTTTCACTAATATGGTTGCAGTCGAACCATTACCGAAATTGTACATAAATAACGGCCCTTGTCATTAGCGGAATATTATCCCATCTCTGTAAGGCCTTACTAGTGAAAACGTTACACAATGGGTTTATCATGTAAATCGACATACGATCTAACTTGCACGTGGATAATGCACAAAACTCATTGATTACCGGTACAATTTTACACCCGCGCATTTATAAACCAAAACTCCTACTACATTGTCACGCATTCTGCTTTACTCGTGCTTCTTCTGTTGCTGGTTTGTTTCACCTTTTTACCGTCAAATAAAATTTACGAGTAAATTATTGCATTGGTTGCTTCGAATCTCGTGAATGCCATGTCCACGCATTCCATACGCGCGCCTTTCGCACACTTCATATTGGCAGACCCGATAATGCTGCCGCTTACATTTTACGGCTGAAAATATGTCGGACTCGACTTTCTCATTTATTTCATCGTATCGATATTGAACGCACACTCCACATAGCCTCACATAAGCATGTGTATATATTACTTACCTATGCAGTCGTTTGTAGTGTGTTATTGTAAATACTTGTATGTAGAGTAGGTGCATACCTTGATTCTTGGTTGGTGCAAATGGAAAAAAATTGAAAATATTTTACATTTAATTGCTACTATAAAAATGAGATATGCACTCATATATTTTGCAAATATGACTATACAAATGATTGCCTCCATGAATATACATATGTATGTGCTTATGTATGCGCATAGCTATCGCAGACATGTGTTTTGGAAGTTTTGTAGTAAAGATTTTTGCACAGGGCAAATTTTGCAAGCTACGCACTTTGGCATTTTAATTTGCCTGTCTAAAAGCTCCGGCCTCGCATTCCTGCAGATTAAACTAACGCTTAGACAATCACTTGACACACACGCACGCTTTGCTTTTTTAGTGGGGTTAAAAGCATAAAAGTCTTCAAATTTACATACAAACATATATACATACTCATATATATGTAAGTATGAAAAAACAAAAGCCTTGCAGTGAAAATCTGCGTAAACGTACGATTATGTAAACGATTCTCAACATTTAAAATTTCTAAGCTGTTGCACCTGATAAAACCAGTCTATAAATTTGGTACAATCGATAGACGCTTTTTTATGGTATATAAGTTATTAATAAGAGGGAATAACGGCAATTTTGAACAAAATTTGAGGTAAAAAGTTACTTTATCTTTCTCGACTTGTGTGAAAAAATTAAAAGAATTTGTTTCCAGAGTGAAAATGGCGGAAAATTTTTCAGGCCTCAAATATCTAAACAGACTGCAGAGCTAATGTCATATAGTCCATAAAAGAATATTAGAAACATACTTACACTTTTTGGTCGAAAAGTTTTTTGAATCTGGGTGGTTTTTCGAGATTGCAGAGTGGTATAAGAGCTTATGGCGTTAGTGTAGAGCGCCGAGTCGGGGGAGAGAGGATGAGAATTCTATTATATGTATCGGGCTTTCCAATAGGGATGATATGATTTCTAAGTGACTTTTCGGCGTAATGTTTACGATTTCATAAAGGAAAGATATGCGCTAGAACAAAGTTTTCAAATTATTCAATTATATTATTAAAATAATCGTTCTCCAACTGCAAGTTTTTCTGTTGCGAAGAAAACCAACATTTGGTTCCAACAAGACGTGTCACACAACACGTTACAATACGGGGTTATTTGAAGTCATTGGTCTTTAGCAATACACCAGACTGTCTTCAAGCTTTAGAAGCCAATATTGAACGTGCTTTTCATGACATACGACTTGGTTTAGTGGAAAAAGTACTCGAAAACTGGGTTCATCGAAATCGTTCCTGCAAGAGAAGTCGTGTAGGCCATTTGAATGATGTTATATTCAGAACTTAATTGTATCGATGGTAATTCACATCAAATAAAAAACAATTTAAATGTCCTTAATTAGTGTGTTTCTTTTATTTTATAAATTATATCACTCTTATTGGAAAACCCTTTAGAAGTGGGCTTTGTTTTTAGAAAAGCAAAGTTTAGCATTATCCCGGGGGGTTAGAAATAAAATTTAAAATTTAAACATTCCAACTGTGTATATGTGTATGTCTGTATGTAGAGACTTCTGAAACTTTAGTAGATGACAGCTATTTGGCCTTTATTGCCGAAGAGTTTCAAGCGGTTTGCAACTCACCTAGTTATAAAATTGTATATAGATGTGCTTGTAGTTCTGAGTCCTTGTATGCTTTTAAATGTGTAAATATGTACGTATGAGAGTTATATCTTCTACACCTGCATAAACAACGCTTTCCGTTGGGAGCAAATATGTAGGTTTCCAGAACCTTTTTCTACTACAACAACTCAAATATATATTGTACTTATCTTAGTACTTTTTTTATTACAAAAAAGCTTTCTCTATATATGCACAGCTGCTTTCTAGGAACAATGTACTATCAGTCAGGAATTTCAAAAACAATTCTCAGAAGTTACACAGGCTCACAATTTTTTGGGGGTGATTCCCCTCGGTCCCGGTGTTCTCGAAATTGCCCGATTATTCGCTAAAGGCCAAATCACTTTTGTGAATTTACAATCGGAAGGTCTTAATGTGTTTTCCAAAAATATTCGTGACTCAGAAGGGCCAGTGAAAAAGGGCACATATGCCGTATAAGCAGCTGGACATTTTTTGAACACTTCTA